AAGAAAGAAAGAAAGAAAGAAAGAAAGAAAGAAAGAAAGGTGGGTGAGAGGGAAGGAGACAGTAAAAGGGCCCTGACTGCAAAACCTTTAAAATTTCATTATGGAACGAGGCTGGCTCAGTCTGCAGAGCATGGATGGGACTCTTGATCTCGGGGTCGTGAGTTTAAGCCCCATGCTGGGCAGAGAGTTTGCTTAATAAAATAAGTTTACTGTGGCAGTCACCAAAGTGAAAAGAAACCATACAATCCTCATCTTCTGTAGGCGTATCTTAAAACCCTACTTCCCACCAAGCTTTGGGAGTTTGCAAACATCACGTAAGTTGCAATCCCAGCCTCCATGGAACTGACAATCTATGGCGGGTGATGGGGCATGCCATGTGAAACATAGCTGTAGAACAAGGTTGTTGTACTTGCCAGCCAAGGGATAGTCAGTGCCACTGGAAGGCCAGAGCTGGGAGAGGGCAGAACAATATGGGGTGAGTCACAAGTGTGTGTGTCATCCTTGCTCAAGGTAAACTAGGACTGTTGGGTAACAACAGGAAAATGTCACAAAGCAGGATGAGCCAGTGCATGCCTCTGATTGGTGGGCACAGCCTTGGGTGTGGAGGAGGGAGAGAAATTCAAGGCTTGCTGGGGGTCAGGGCACGCGTGGTGAGACAGTGGGATCGAAGTCCAGAGCCAGAGCCCTTCCAGAACTCTTACTGGCTTAGAACCTCCATTTTTTTTTTTAATCTTCCCTGTGTTGTGAACTCTTCTAGATGCTGGTTTCTGATAACTTTTTTTATTACTATGCAAGTAACATGCTTTCATAGAAGAAATAAGGAGGAGCAAGAGGAGGAGGAGGGAGAAGGAAAAGAAAATGCAGAGAAAAGAGAAAAAATAACCTAAAGTCCCACCGCCCCAAATCACTCCATATTTTGGTGCCTGCCCACCCACCCTTTATCCTCTCTTCCACCCACCCTTCAACCTATCCATCCATCCACCTATTCATTCATCCATCCATCTGTGTCAGAGTTCTTAGTTGCAAACAACAGAATCCACTCTAACTGAAAAGGAACTTATCTCTTTTTTTATGATGATTTGGTTTTTCAGTTTATTCATTTTTATTTTTTTAATTATTTTTTCTAATGTTTATTTTTGAGAGAGAGAGAGAGAGAGAGAGAGCGGGGGAGGGGCAGAGAGAGAGGGAAACACAGAATCTGAAACAGGCTCCAGGCTCTGAGCTGTCAGCACGGATCCTGATGTGGGGCTCGAACTCACAAACCTTGAGATCATGGCCTGGGTTGAAGTCGGACATTTAACCGAATGAGCCACCCAGGTGCTGCTTTTATGGTGTTTTTTTTTTTTTTAATGCTTATAATTTTTGAGAGAGAGACAGAGAGACAGAGAGCAAGCAGGGGAAGGGCAGAGAGAGAGGGAGACACAGAATCAGAAGCAGGCTCCAGGCTCTGAGCTGTCAGCACAGAGCCTGACGCGGGGGTCCAACTCACAGACCACGAGATCAGGACCTGAGCTGAAGTTGGCTGCTTAACCAACTGAGCCACCCAGGAGCCCCTTTTTCAGTTTATTTTAAGAAAGAAAGCATAAGTGGTGTGGGGGTTGAGGGAGAGGCAGAGTCAGACGCAGAGAGAGAATCCCAAGCAGGCTTTGCCCTGTCAACACAGAGTCTGACAGTGGGGCTTGATCTCAAGGACTGTGAGATTATGACCTGAGCTGAGATCGAGAGTCGGACGCTTAGCGGACTGAGCCACCCAGGTGCCCCTAACAGAAAAGGAACTTATTAAAAAACATTCAGTAGCTCACAGAATCCAAAAGGGAAGACAGGCACAGAGGCTCAGAATGCAGGGATGATGCCCAAACCACCTCAGGGTACTTTTCTAGCCAAACCACCAAGGCAGCTATCAGCATAAATTCTGCAACTTGCCTGAACTCACCCCCTTCAACAATGGTGGGAATTGGATCTCAGACCATCCCTTCTGTTGCTCTGAAGGCCCAGAAGCCTCCTCTAACCCCCTTCCCCAGGACACCTGCTTCCTGTTGCCCTCTTCCAAATCAAAACCCTCATGTGCATGCATCTGATTGGTGGAACCTAGGTCACATGCCTACACCTTAGTTGCAAAGAAGTCTGGGAAAGTAAATTTCTCGCCTCGAGAGAAGTGAGATTTATGATCTAGGGAAAACCCACAAACACAAGAAAGTTAATCAAAAGATACATACTGGTGACCTTAATGCAGGGCAAATGTCGCCTGCACTGTGCATTATTTTTCTCCTTACAAATATAGAATGATATCAATTTAATTATTCTCTGAATCTCCAGTGCCTGGCACAGAGCAGGCACTCAACGCAGGAGGAAGGAAAGGAGAAAGAGAAGGGAGAGATTACACGTTTACATGCTGCCTCACTAAACAAGATTGAACGAAGACTTCATGTTTATAGAATCCAAAGAACTCCCAAGGCCATCCGTGGATTATGAAGGAAGGTCTCTCGCCCAGCACGTTAGTACAAAGCTGCCCCCAGCCGTCAGGCTCGTGCTCTGGCCATGGCGTGCAGCATCTAGACCCCAGGGAATGCTGTATCCTGAGGAGTCACTTTCTCTGTAGCCTACCTGTTGGCTTAATGTCACTCAGGCTGACACTGAATCTTCTCCCGTCCCCAATCCCAGAGTTTCATGAGGTTTTAAGTAGTCTCTGAGGGCCACTCTAAAACAGTTGCTGCAAAGGCAACATTAGAGGCCTCCCAGGGTGATAAACATCACTGGCACCACTTTCAAGCGGATCTGTTCAGATCAGTCAGTCGTGTTCTTCATGGTCAAGGTGTGCCATCACAGAATTATATGGGTCCTGCCTTTTAGAAGTTTATACTGTAATTGTTAAGAGGCAAGATACATGCACTTAAATGACAAGCTCTCTTGCTGCCAAATAAGCTAGGAAAACGTCCCTGCTCCCAGGGCCTGGGGGGATGGCCAGGCCCCACAGGCTGAGTGAGAGGAGCCTGCTGAGAAGGGGAAGGGCTGGGGGAGGTAGTGGCCAGGGCACCGGCTTGGGAGTCACAGCAAACCTGCATTCTTCCCTAACCCCCTCAAAGCAGGTCAGACCCTGTATCTTCACTTGCTGTCGCATCGCGTACCCCTCTTTATGGCTGAATTTCTTTGCGGGGTTATCTGGTTGTTGTCTGCCCCCTCCCCTCCACCCCGAGCTGGCTGTGGTGCCGAGGGAGGTTCCGGGTGGGCAGAGGCTGGTGAGGACCAAATCAGGGCGAGGCTGCAGGGAGGGTGAGGCTGAGACCCATCACAAAGACAGTCTGAAGCCTCCCCTTCACACTCCTTTCCCCCAGGGAGGAGCAGCTGATGTGTTTCTGGAGTGTTCCAATCCAATTAGTGCCCTCCCTTGCTCCAAGGAGGGGCCCAAGCCACCACTCCCCTCCCTGAGGTGGAGACGGGGTGGGGAGGGGGTGCTGAGGAGGTCTGAACACCCTGACCCAGCGCCTCCTGGCAGGGCGGCTGGCTCGCCGCTGCTGAGAGGCTGCTATGACAGCGCCCGTTTCTAGGCGACTGTTCTGGGGAATGGTCTGTTTTGGCAACCGGAGGGCCCCTGGGTAAAGGGGGCCCGCAGGCCGCGGCGCATTTGCATAGCAACGTCCTCCCCTCCCGGAGCCGCGCGCTGCTCTGCGGCCGCTCAGCGGGGCGGGAGGCTCCCGCTCCGGCTCCGGCTCCGGCCCCT